CGTCTTCAAACCAGACTGGGGCTTTTCCTTTGGCAGCGCGTATACCCCAGACCCGTAATTTATTGAGTCTCTCGGTGGCGGACGGGTTACGAGCCTGCAGGAGGGAGGGCAGGCTGCGGGGCGGGAGGCCCGTACCGCCGGTCCCGGCAGCGCCGGGCCGCCGCCTCCGCTCATCGCGCGGGGCAGAGGAGAGCAGGAAAGATCTCGGCTTTGAAACAGGGGGCTAATGAAGTAACTCTTGTCTCAGCCGAGAAAGGAAGGCTTCGTACCTCAGTAACCCGCTTTAATCTAGAACTCTTAAAATAAATTTCCCTTTAAATTTCTCCTTTTCATTTGATTTTGAATGGATTGGTCAATCCCATATTTGTTTCCTGTTTGGCAACTCCCATTTGCTTTTTTTTTTAAACTTGAACTTCTCAATACCTTATTCTGTTGCGGTATTTTTGCCCATTTTGTCAGTGGAACAGTGAAAATGCAGCCCGAGCGGGAGCCGGGCGCTGCCGCTTCCACAGGCTCTGGGTGTTCCCGTTCCCACGGATGGGAACTACACAAAAACACTTTGCTGCTTACTCGGTGCTACTCATGTAAATGTAATATAAGGTGTGCGTGCTTAATAGTTCTGTTTGAATCGATGATGCCAGTAACGTGCAACTAAGCAGGTGGGCAAGTAATAGAGTTCATTTAGCTTTGCTTTAAGTCTTCACAATGTAGTTTAGCAGGTTTGCTGCTGAGTGTGTATTCAGGGAACAGCTTGAAGGAATTGGTGGAATTTAATATACTTTTAACATATGCCATTAATATTTTAGCTAAATCTTAAAACTAGAAACCAATGACTTAACAGCTTTGATTATAAAACAGAAAAGGAGATCAGAGTTTATTCTTAAACTATTTTTTTCTCTTATACTTCAGACTGTCATTACTATCAAGCAGGATTGGTATCTTCAATATGGGAATGTTTATTTGTTTCAAGTTGAACTCTTATTTAATTGTCTTTCCTGTGGTATAAAAATAATTAACTATGAAAAAGAATAGAGATTAAGACCAGTATGAAATCTGATCTCCTTTCAAAGCCATATTTGCATAGTTTAAGGGCTGCCTTCCTCTACAGGGTGGCTTCTGTACATTCTGTACAGTGAGCCGCTTCACGGATAGTTTTATATGACTTGGGTATGACAGGCACGTTCCCGCTGTATCAAAGCTGTTAATCCCTCTTTTGCAAGACGTGGGGCAGGACTGTAAACACTGGTCTCTCACCTCCCAAATAAGTGATCTGCTCAACTAGGTTAGATGATAGTCTGATTTGCGTTCAATTAGTTAAACATTCATTAGAATAAATACTGCAGTCCCAGGCTTCCTTTACTGGGATGAGTACGTGAACAATTTGATTATTGACTCAAATGCTGTCTCTGCTCTACGAAGTATGTTTAATTTTCAACATCTGTTTTAGTCACTGAATCCATTAAGTTGTGCTGATGAAAAATAATTTCTTGCTGAAGTGTTTTGCTGGACTAGACTTTAAAGACAAAAGAGGGTGTAGTTCAAATCGGGCTTTGCGTGGGTTGCAGTTTTAATGGTGGAGAGGGAAGGTGCTTAATAAAGATTATTAGGAAGCTATTAACGAAGAAAACGGTAACAAACAAGGAAGTCAGCTGGGAGTAGACAGAAATTACATACTTGGTGCTGAATGGGAGTTGTCAGAAAGAAGTGCTGGGAAGAGTGTAGGAAGTTTCCAAAGAGTTGCAACGTGGAGAAGTACAATTTTCTTTTTGATTCAGTTGCCCTTTGAGCAGATCACATACAGTTGCATAAACTGAATAATGTAACGATACCTAACTGGCATAGATGTTTTAACTTAACACTAGAATTTTCAGTTAATGGCAGCCTAGAGCTGTAGTTTAAGGTTCTTACTGTTGATAAGGCAAAGGGCTATCTTTGAGCAATACTTCATTTGCTTCTGCAGAGCTTTTGTAGACTAGTGATAACAAACATCTGCATCGCTGTTGATACACTGTCTTACTATTTAGTCACATGGTTGGTGTGTTCTGTTGTGTTTATGTACGTTTTTAATAAGCTAGAGGGAGGGAAGATTTGAAACTGGTGTGTGCGTATAGTACATGTGATTGTACTTTTTTTGTGGTTCAGGATTCCGTTTTCTTTACTTTTTCAGTCTAACTGTTTTATCCTTGATGTAGAAGCCAAATGCTACTCCCAGCCGTGGCAAGCTTCATCTGGAGTAATTCACGGCAAATTTTGCTCTTGTCTGCTTGATCTAAAGGAATAATCTTGTTTAGTATATATTCTCTTCCAGTATGGCTTACACCTATGAACCCTTTCACTGCAGTCATGAAAAAATACTATATGAAATGGCACACACAAGATGTCTGATGTCAGTGCAGAGGGCAAAATCCTGAAATCCTTTGTAGATGTCTATCCATGTGAGAAATTTTGTAAGATCTTTTCATGGCTGGGCTGGGTTCTGTGAAGTGCTCAGGGCTCTCGCCTCCCGTTGTGAAAATGGTATAATATTAACCAGCTTGTAAGATTTGTCTGTATTGCTTGAAACAGCCCTCAAACGTAGCCTGCCATTTCCGTATTTCAGCTGCCAAATGCAACTCATAAATTCTGATTAGATGACTGGATTGCTTGTAATTAACAAGACAATATGTTAGGGATAAAAGGTTTTGATATGGATGAAATTCTCATCTTAATCGCTGGTTTGTGTGAAGCTAAGGGAAACTTGTTGAAATAAAAGTTAGTGCACTGATTGGATTATCATAAAATTTGCACAAAATAACTGGATAAATCTATCAAACACATTTTAAAATCTTATTTCAAGATCTTAAAGACTAGCAAAAATCACTATGAAAGTGTTAGCATGTACCTTCTGAAGTTGTCCTTGTAAACGTAGACCCAGAACTACTGATCATGTTGTTACAAATCCCAAACCCAGTCATGCCACTGAAATCCACAGCAGCACTGGGCTCTCCCGGCTAAAATCCCACCCTCCCCTTCCTTCTCCAAGTTACAAAATGTTGCATCTCCGAAGCATTGTAGGAGATCGCAGAGAGTAGCCTGAGCTATGCCCCTTGGGAATGATGGAAAAATCTGTAATAACCCGAGGTGGCCTGCCATCGCAGTGTACCTCCTGCAGCACACTCGCGCTGCCAAGGGAACAGCTCCAAAGGTCTTGGGGAAGGCATCTCCGTGTGCGTAGCAAGGAACTGCGTGTGAGTAGTTCAGGCTGGCACAGAGTCACAGGGTTTCTGGCTTCTGGCTCCCCTCCCAGCCCGTGCAAGTCCAGCCTGCTTGGCTGGTATGGGAGGAAGGGCAGGCAAATCCGTGTTTGTGATGGAGCGAGGGAAATGTATCTGCATCAAAGTTCTTTGGAAGTGAAAGAGTTTGGGTATCTTAAAAATAAGCATAATTTTATCCAAGCGAAACATTCTTAGGTTCTGCATAATATTCCACATATGATTAGACCGTCCTTTTGAATATTATAAAAGTATCTTTCAACTTAAAATGCTCTAGTCCTCTCAGTTCTGAATGTATTCCTCTGAGAACACATAGGTAACCAGATAAAATAATTTTACACATTATCCTCTCTAAACTAGACAGTGTGAGTTACATATTCCACAGCCCTGTGGCAGCATGATGTAGTTCAGACAGGTTTGTCCAGCTCTTCAGTAAATTGAAAATGTGTATTTTAATTTCATGCACAGTGCTCATCTTGTTTTCATGTGCCATACAATGGTAGTCAACTCTGAGTAAGAACAGTTACTGCTCTCCCATGGTACTCGTATTGTTGTAGCACCAGAGTGCTCCGGGATGGACAGAGCCAGTGGTGCGAGGCTCAGTGCGAAGCTTGGAGTTGCCTCGCCTGGGTCAGAGGAGGTACTGGGAGTCAGGGGTATGCCTGCTGTGAAACTGGTGAGAAGGAAATACTAGTGGGCATTCATTTTTTAGGTATTTTACATTTAGTTCAAATTCTGTAGGTGTCAGAGTGATGTAGGAATTGGGCTGTATGTTCTAGACCTCCATATTGTCTCTTGTCAGTGTTGTGTCCTGATACAGAGAGTTCTGTTGGCATCGGTGGGTTCCCTTCTTTGACAGACCTACCTCAAGTACACGGTGTGTGGGAGGAGGAGTAAGCAGCTTTCTAAGTTTTCTGCAGCAGTTATAACTTTGAGATTTCTTAATTACTATGATTGCTGCTAAAACAGTTTCTTTTCTACTTTGATTTCTCTTTCCTGGTGCTGTTATGATTCACTCTTGGGAGATTTGGAAAACCGCTTCAGGCTTCCTAAACCTACGCAACGGTTCACAGCTGGAAATCTGACCTACTTCAGAACTGCTCTTACCCAGTTAGGAATGTCTCCGAGACTGAACTGCAGCAATATAAGCCTCCCAAGCACAGGTTAAGGGAAGAAATTGTTTGTTATGAAAAATGGAAGTTTGTACTGTGAGGAAGAATAAATAGTATGTTGCAAATTAACAAATTGTCCAATCCTTAGAATTAGATTCAGTGGGAATTTTGCTTACTTGGGTAAAGAACTGGACGTGGAGACTTGAAGCAATGCGTACAATTTGTTATAAAATGGAAGACAGTGTCCGCAATTGCTTGTAGACAGTGCTGGGAAAAAAGTGAAAGAATCTATTTGAAAATGAACAACACTGCTGCCACTTACAGATTTCTGTAATGTAAAAAGGCATATTTCATTTTTCATTCAAGAATGTGCAAATGTTCCACGTGGGCATCTTTTTCATAGGAGTTTTGTGACCACTTTTTGAAACAATTGCCACTGCTTGGTGCATTGGATAGTAACCTGATGCAGTCTGTTGGCAGTTCCTCTGCCCCTTTCGTTTTGGTGCAAATACAAATTTTCTTCCCTTGGTGAAACAAAAAGTGTTTTAGATGTACGTCCATTTACACCAGCTGACCTTAATCCATAGCACGAAAGACCGTAAGTAAAAGACAGCGTCTGTGGAATAGGGACGTGATCCTTGAAGACCTAGTCCAGTATGTCAGCTTTGATGTGTATCCTATTCTCTAGGCACTTACAGAAAATAAGGACTAATTGCCTCAGACCTGCAAAGAGGTGATTGAGAAACAACAAACTCTTAAAACTGAGAGTAACAGATTGCGTACTGCCACGCTGTATATGGGTTATTTCCTTCGGGGTGGAAAGGCCCTGGCTTTAAAACATTTCTAGGTGATTTCGGCCAGTGGATCTCAATATGTTTATAGCTGGTGACCATATTCAGATTAATTTGGGAACCCATGTAAGCCTGAGCTCTGAGCATAAAAGGTTTTAGAGATTAAAGTGCAGTAATCACTGAAATTTACTTTCTTCCCTGCAGGGCACTGTTCGAAGGATTATTATCGAGAATCCTGATCAGGTAGGAGAGTGTTTAGTGCTGGAGTTCTGCTTGTGTAACTCTTCCTCCCTTGATTATCCTGATTTGGTAGAGTGCTTGGCTACCTCCATCAGGGGATGCTGAATATTTTGAAATCACATGGCCCATACCTCTGATGAGAGATGAAATTATTAGGGATTGAAAATACTACAGAACCCCCACTCAGGCGTCCCACCTCTCAGCAGTGAAGTCTCTATTAATATGCTTCAATAGCATCGCTAGCAGAGATGAATTTCTGTTTCTACTATGTTTATTTCAAATACTGTCTAGATGGAAGCACAGTCACTTTGTTTCCAAATGGACATACACTCAAATATACGTATCTTAAAGAACTATCTCAAAGTATATGTGTCTTCAAATTACAAAAATCCCTTATCATTTTTTAGTCAAAATTACACTAATCCTGAATTTGCTGTTTGACAACATTTAAGAGTGTTTTTATTCAAATGTTTTACAGGAGCCGTTATCCCCATTTCTTAGAGGGGGGAATTTCTGTCCTGGAAATAATGTCATCTATGAAAAGACAATAAGAAAATACGAGCTATTAAATCCCCACCAGGTAAGTTGGTTGTTTATATTATCTTATTGCAAAAGAAAACTGAGATGGTAGCAGAAAAGTAATGTTCCCGGGTTGGGGTTTTTTTTTGTTGGGAACTACTGCCAATGTGAGAATTGCCTTGTTGAATTATAGGACACATTCTCAAAGCAAATGAAACAATTTCTGTATGTAAGGAGAGCAGAAGTTGGAAGGTTTGCTATATTTTTACTAAGAATTTATTATTTCAGATTTATAATGAAAACTGCTGTTGTATCTCCAGCACTGTCAGTCTTTATCTGCACACTGACTGAGAATTAGTTTCTTGCAGTAGCTCCACAACAGAATAACCAATACAAATTTTTACACAAATCTAATTGAAAAGACAAATTTTAACTCCCCCCCCCTCTTGAAAAAATATATTTGGTAAAGCTGTCTGAAATTTCATCTTAGAATTGGTGTTTTGTCAATAGCAAAAATATTATTTCTTTTTTTATTGCTCTGAAGTACTGTTATTTTCAACAGCAAAAATTTTGAAATGAAGGCTGTTTCAGAGTGATTAATCTTATCTGTTTGGTTTTTTTGTTTGTTTGGGGTTTTTTACTTAAGTTTTCATTCCATTCTGGATTTTAGATAGATAAATTAGGTGTGATATCCATACCCTGAAGTGGAAAGGGAAAAAATTTGAGGTAATGATGAATAATAGCTTCTTTCTTCCCACAGAATAATGAAGTGTGGAGTCTAGTCCTGGAAACCATATTTCTGCTTCTGTTTTTTGTTACCCAGGGTATATCTAGATTTACGTCAAATCAGGAGTGTAGTTTTGAAGACAATTTCCCAGTCTCCTACTACATATCGCTCTTTTACGCTGCACCGTGGTCTTGGACCATGCGAACTAGACTTCTTTCAGGTGAAATTAGAATGTGTCGACAGAGCGCACCCAGTGTGCTACGACTGCTGATGGGAGCGTAGCCCATTCAAAACCAGATGTAAAACCTCCTCAGATACGTAGAATGTCGGTACTGGGTCCTCACTCTGCTCCTCTTGTGTCACTGTGTAATGCGGATGTAATGCGGTCTCTGTGTTCTGATTTTGGTGCAGAAGTAGATGTTGGTTCAACCTTTTAAATGTAACCGCACTGTGAATTTTAAGTCAAAATTATCTGCAGCCCAGGATGTGCATTTGTATACTTCTACATAGAATACAAAATACATATTTTTTGAAGTAAACTTGTAAAAGCCATGATCTAGAGAAACAATTAAGTTTGCTGAAATCAGTAACTTTCAGCATTTTGACTGGAATGTAAACTAGTTCCTAGTTTATTGTTTTGGTGGGTGTTTTTGTAAATAGCACTCTTCTTGATTATAAAAACCAGACACGTGTCCCTCATATATTGTACACTCTGAATCTGGAATTGCTGAAAGCATTTATAGAGGAAAATGTCTTGAGCCATTTGCTGTACTAAATTTTTTTCTGACTGAAATAACGAAAACACAGTTCAACTGGAGCTCTTTTTTATCTCCAAAATACTTAATGAAACAGGATATGCATGCGTTTTAAATTAAATAATGGACGTCCCTGTTGCCTGAGTATGTTAAGAGTAACACCATAATGAAACATACAACTCAGGAAAGGTGTATCTTCTGTGTTTTTCATTTGCAGCTACTATTATTTGAGGAGTTGGTGAATTACAACCTTGAAGTATGACAGAGTGAGGCAAAACCATGTTCAATTAGGAAAAAAAGCAATTTTATTAGGACTATTGAAATATAGTCTTTATATTTTATATTTGTCTATATAATTTATCTATATATTTTCTATTTGAAAACAGTCTTTCCACGCAAAACCGCATTTCATTCATTTCATTCATTCATTTATATATTCATATTAAGCCTCCATTTCATTCAGATGTGTTCAGCAGCTTCAAAAAATCCATTCTTGTTTCTAGGAGAAGCAGTATCAATTTTCCCACCAGTGTCAGATTCCCCAGCAAGCCGATCAGTGCCATGTTGTCCAGCCCTGCCAGCACTCTGAGCAGTCCCAAGTCACCCAGCACTGCCAGCAGACACAGACCAGTAGCCCCTGTGAAATAATTCCAGTCTCTGTGAGCGATGACTGCAGGGGAAATACAGTGAGGAGGGTAACAGTTCAAACCTATGAACCGGTAAGAATGATTTGCTGAATGTTTTACTATTCACACTGTATTTTTGTTTTGTATGCAGAGTACAAAACTTCACAGGTACATAAAATTACTAATCCCTGGTCTCAAAAGTGTTTGTTCAACCTCACAGTAAGGCCATGAAGCACCATACACCCGTTGTAAGTAAACAGCAGAGTTTGTGTGTCTGTTGCAGGTAACTTCTTCGCATGCTGTGATTGCAGACATTGTCTAGAACTGTCCAAGACTTTGTCACATGCTGTTAAGGAAAAAAAAAAAAGCTGTTTTAGGTGTTGTATCCTATTGCTTGTTGGTGTAGACCTGCGCTTAATTGTACTGACTGATCATCATTCTGTTGTCCTTTAAATGTGTTAAGTCTTGCTGGTTGGTTTGTTTTTTTTCTTTATCTGGGAGTGTTACCCGTTGATTGAGTCAGGTTTCATCTGTCAGTTTTTGTACAACAAAGATTGAGTAGTGTAAGGCTTATGCCTCTAGTTTTGGAGAAAAGATACATTACTTTAAACTGGACACACATCAATTCAGGATTGCTTTCTATCTAAACTGATCAGTAAGGATTTCAAATATATTTCAATTTGATGTAGAAGTATTTGACATAGATTCACTGGAAGCACAAAACTAGCTTCCTTCGCCCTTCATTTTACAGCAGGTTGCAAGTTCTGGAGTTTCTAAGGGCTGCAGGAGGCTGGTATATTATAGTATACAATATAATGTATACTATTATTTCAGTTGTGGGAGGGAGTGTAGCAGTCCTTCCTATGCATTGATTCAATGTATCGGTGGCAAGACAAACATACTTGGTGACCTTAGTGTTAGAGCTGCGTGGAATCTTCCGTAGCCAGGTACTCCCATAAACCAACTTCAGTACACCCAGTTTGGGTTGCTGTTGAAATTCTTTTGTTGTTCACATACGTAAACATTTGAACTGTGGCAATACAAATACCATTTTTGCAGTGGGGAATCTTGCACCCAGCTGGTTTTATCTGGGTGCTGCCCACAGGCGTTTTATCCACTACAGCTATGGAAACATGTATATTAATGAAAGATTTCCTAATTCTCAACACTTTCCATATTAGAATAATGATGATGGTACTGCTGTAGAAGATAATACTTTGCGTATTTCTTGTTGCTGTAAAGGAAGTAATTTATTTCTGTATAGTTTGCCAAAACCCAGAATACATGGAAGACTCAATATCAAGGAAAAGGACAGTGTAAACAAATGGCAAATTAGTTAGAGCAAACAAAAACAAATCCATCATACTTGGAGCATTTTCATGTTCGGCTTTCATCCCAAAGAAGGGAACTCAATTACGATCTTGCATTATCTTCTGCCAGGTGAACTGCTCTCAGGAAAACAGTGACCAGCTGGACTGCCGCTACTTTGGTGAGCTCCTTGCTGAACTGAACCGCAAGACCAATGACTTGTACAGTTGTTTACTACAGCATGTGGAAAAGATAGGAGGAAGGTATTGGCATTATATCTGTTCTATCATTTTGGCATTCCAGAAATCCTAGCATTGCACAGCTGAGAGGACAGTATTGTTTGCAAGTTGGGTTCCCCCCCCCCCCGACAACTAGAATTGACCATGTATTTTACACATTAATCTAATTTGCTGAGTAACTGAGGACATAAAAATGCTGTAAGCCAAGTAAATTTATTGAATTTGATGCTTTTTCAAATTGTTTAGACTAATAGGCAATAGGAATTATGTATCCCACACATGTTTGCACATAGAGCAAACAAGTATATTTACAGCATGCTCTGACGTGTATTTAATGATACAATTCTGTTAACGTCCTGAAGAAGGAAACAACCCAAATGTCCAAGTTGCCATTTCCTTTGTTCTGTCATGTGTTATGTTCCGTCATGAATTAAAAGATGGCCATCATAAGGCATAAAGCTCAGTTAATGTTAAGCATGTATTCTGCAGAGCCCTACGGATTGTCTTTGAAAACAAATGCAGAGTCACAGCAGTCAGTAATCTGAGTCTTCACAACGTTCTTACCCTTCCCTCACCATCACCATTGCTTCATTCTTCCCTCCTCGCTCCCAGTCTCATTCGGTGCTTTCCAAGTTAACTGAAACAAGAAAAGTGGTCCCATAGCAGGGGAAAAGTGGAATTTAAGCATCACAAAAAACCTGACGCTGCTAAGTAAACACTTCAGGCATGTCAGTATATTGCAGCATAGTTCTGGGTAAACCATTACCCAGCCAATTAAGAATGTAATTGGGTTAACCAAACATAATTGGGATAACTGCCCAAAGAAACGGAGATAGTCAGCCTGTGTTAACTGGACTGCTATTAGTATTCCAGCCTCCTCAGGTATTTCTACATGGAGTCGTATTTAACAACTCGTGTTGCCTAGCACCTTAAAAGGAAGGTAACAGCTCTTAATCTGATAAAGAACGTTCCTTGCTGTGTATTTTAAAGATAACCTTTTTATAGCTGTAAATACGGGCATGAATTCTTCGAGTTCTCAAGAAGCTTCCTATTAATCGGTCCCTTGGATTTTCTGTTTTACAGGAACCATGACGTTGAATTTACGTGTCAGGTAAGCATCAGGCGTGCTCTTAGCAAGCTGTTCCCTGATACGTAGTGTTAATAACAACGGTGTGGATCTTCAAGCAAATTAAGCCAAGCCAGTTTAAATGAAGGATGCTGGTCTTTGTTAGTTAATGATTCCTGCTTGTTCATAACATTCAGAGCCTGAAACCTACTGCTAGGCATGTATTTGCAAATGCGACAATATTGAAAGGAAACTTTAATAATTTGCATTATTCCAGTATGAGAGTCAAATTTTGAAAGTCTTTCCTGTTGTGCCAATAGTGGTTTCATTGTAAAACAAACTCGCACAGCTACATGTATTTCCATTACACGTTTTTTGCAAAGGATCTTTCACTCTCTTGCCAATAAAGCTGCTGTTTAGCAACATGTGCTGCCATGCATCGCAAGAAGTGAGGAATACTGCCTCTCACAGAGAGGAGAGGAACTAAGTTGACAGCACGGGCTTCCTACATCTACAGAAAGCTCACTGTTGTGAATCAGGCCGTGATAGAATCACCAGTACCTATGTTATTTTTAAAGGCATTGTGTATGTGGCAGAAATACTTGCCTAGGATTAAATTACATGAAGCAATGCCACGTAATCACTGGCAGTATCTCCTGCGACACTCTGGTCATCTTTCGTTTACTGACAGTCTGTTCTTCATCTAGAAACACGAGATTTGCTCCTGTCATAAACTGCTGGGAGTTCTGTTTTACCGTCAGCTGTTATTTCTTGAGAGAGGATTGTTTTGAATACTGCTTTTAAAATAAATGTTAAACTCAATGATTTGAATATATGCTTCATGTATCACTTCATCTGTTTTTATATGCCACACATATATAAGACTTAGGAAATTTTCTGGATACACTTTGATCTATTTTCATTCTTATTTGCCTTGTACGAAACATGTTTTTCATAGTAGAGCTGTGTAATTAATGAAGAAACCACATTATGATCTACTGGGCAAAATTCTTAATCAAGACGTCTCCCCTTTCCTCCCTTCTTTGCTTAGACTGAAGATATTGAAGATTTAATTCCCAAAGGCCTGTCTGAGGCAACAAAGCAGCAGATTCGTTATCTCCTCCAGGTATGTGAGTGGGGTGGAGGGTGTGTGGAAGCCTACAGTAACTTGAAACAGTAGAAGCTGGCTTACACGTACCGGGGATTTTGTACATAGCATACTTGACTCTCTAGTCTACTTACTCCTTTTTTTCCCAGTGTAAAGGGTATGGAATCTTACAGGTGGCTCCAAGTGACATGTTGCGGCAGTTGGTTCCACAGGCTACTTGTGTATTTTAAATTGAGCTTTGCTGATGCTTTCTTGCAGCTTCTCTGGAAACCATCTTGGCTGTTGACCAGTTACAGATTTGTTTGTGGTGGTGTCCTGGTTTTGGCTGGGTTAGAGTTAAATTTCTTCACAGTAGCTGGCATGGGGCTGTGTTTTGGATTTGTGCTGAAAACAGTGTTGATAACCCACGGATGGTTTCATTATTGCTGAGCAGTGCTTAGAGTCAAGGCCTTTTCTGTTCCTCACCCCACCCCACCAGCGAGCAGGCTGGGGGGGCACGAGAAGTTGGGAGGGGACACGGCCAGGACAGCTGACCCCAACTGACCCAAGGGATATCCCACACCTGTCCTACCAGCGAGCAGGCTGGGGGTGCACAAGAAGTTGGGAGGGGACACAGCCGGGACAGCTGACCCCAACTGACCCAAGGGATATCCCACACCATATGACGTCATGCTGAGCATGTAAAGCTGGGGGAAGGAGGAGGAAGAGGGGGACATTTGGAGTGATGGTGTTTGTCTTCCCAAGTCACCATTACGCGTGACGGAGCCCTGCTTTCCTGGAGATGGCTGCACACCTGCCTGCCGATGGGAAGCAGGGAATGAATTCCTTGTTTTGCTTTGCTTGCACGCGCGGCTTTTGCTTTACCTATTAAACTGTTCCTATCTCAACCCATGAGTTTTCTCACTTTTACCCTTCCGATTCTCTCCCCCATCCCACCGGGGGGCAGTGAGCGAGCGGCTGGGTGGGGCTTGGTTGCCAGCTGGGGTTAAACCACGACAGTTGTATATTAATGCTTTACTTTAAAAGCTAAAGGCAAATAATAGGTGCTTTACTGAATGTTGAATTGGAGATCAGTTACCAAGTACATATAATGCTTATAGCTTAGGTCTCACCTTTCACAATTGTTCTGGTTAAAAACCTCTAATCTAGCACTAAGCTCTGAGGCATGCTTATGACATTCGGTAACAAAACATAACCATTTCTGTTGTGGTCCCATTTATAAAGGCTTTTGTGTTTCTTCTGATCTTGTTCTTTAGCTACCTAACCATCTCAGCCCACCTCTTCAATCACCAGCCCCATGGGTTTGGCTGTAAGGCAGTCAGACAAGAATGCGAGGTTCAGATAATGGTGGTTCATTTTGTTGCTTCCTAGCACTGCAGTACTCTCTGCAGTGTGTTTTTTAGAAAAAGACTTGACCTCTTTATGAAGTGCTTTGAAGACAGCCGGTTGGAATTGGCCCCTGCCTTTGGTAAAACATTAAAAACAGTGCTGTAGCACGAATCCCACTGTCGACTCCAGAACCATTTGACATGTAGGTATGTTAGAACAGGATCCAAAACAACCCCCACTGCTCAGCAGGTGTGTTTGGATCTGGTCTCCCGGAGGTGGGGGTAAGGTGATCCCACCCGGGAGCTGCAGCTTAGAATCGCTTCCTGGTAAAAAATACACTTGATTAAAGTTGTGAATGAGCAACCTGGTCTGACTTCACCGCTGATCCTACTTTAAGCAGGAGGGCTGGACAAGGTGACCTCCCAAGTCCCTTCCAACTTGGAATTATTCTGTGAATTTTTTACAATGGAGATGGACACTGACACCAAAATGTTTCATGACCTCATGTTAGAACACGGTCCCAGGAAGCCGGTTCAGCTCAGTCTGTGTGAAAGAGCCGAAACACGTATTTCCTGCTTTCTGTAAGTCCAGCTGGTTTTACATTCTCACACCTATGCTTAGAAAAAATGCAGCTAAAATGTCTTTTGGGGAACCAGATTTTGTCAGCATACATACAAAGTGTGCTCTCAGACTACAGACCCCTCAGGCCTTTTGGACAGAGTTATGTGTGGTATGTTTTTACATCTTAGAAGAATTCTGAGAAAGCTGTCAAACTGCTCAGGTAACGACTGTGCTGGGTATGCCCAGAGGCTCAGCTCTAAGAGCATGGAGAATTTCACTGTAGAAGTACATGACACCTATGGAATTTAGCAACCTCTAGTGCTAGGTAATTGCTGAGTGGGGATTCACTTACATTTTTATAGTCTAAAGTCAACCATTTTGACTTAACTCCTTCTTTTAATCTACTCTTATAGTAGATTTCACAATAAAACCAACAAAGCCAGAAGCCAGAACTGAAATTCCACTTTAATTAAAAAACAAACAGGTGAGTTACACTAGAAACGTCATTTTTGAAGCCTCGGTCACATTAATAGCACCAGTGGGGATAAAAAATAGGACAAGGGCTAATCACCGTATTGATGGAGAGCTTGATAGCTTTCTTCAATTGGAATGATCAACAAATAAAGTTAAGGAAGAGTATCAGAGGATGAGAAACAGACAGGATTTCATTTTTCTCCAGAGAGTAAAAAATACATCTTTGGCCTAGAATATTCAGCCCTTCCAGATGAGTCAAAGGTTTGAGGAGTTATTTTGTGTGTTCTTTCAAAGTCAGTTTTTCCCCTTTCAAATATTAGAAATGTATCATGAAATGCAACACTTTGTGTTTTAACATGAATCAGTACACAGCCGTGAACGTGCATTAAGAGGAAAAAAGAGCGCGCGTTAGGCCATTGTGCATTACTGCCTTTCTTTTTCATCCAGTTGACTCCTTTAATCTTTGGGATTTTTTTCCTTTTAAAGGGATGAGTTGGTTGTATGGCTTTTTTTTTTAATTTACATTTTTTAGAATTTTAATTAAATTCTCTTGCCCTTGGGCTGAAAGCGTGCTTTGCCAGATCTCAAAGACGATGACTCATTCATCTGTGGCTTCTCAGGTAGGGTAGTTATTTCTTTAAATCAGTGTAAGGCACAAAGCGCTGAATGCTCAAAAAATGACTGTGCAATATTAACACATTTATTTTTCCCTTTATTGGTGTGCAGATGCAGTTCTTTACTCTCTTGTTCCTTCCTTTTTAAAAACGTTATCCTGTGCTACAAGGCAATAATGAAAAAGCTATGCCATTTGCAGAACAAAGTGCATGAAAATGTGTTTCTCTGTAGAAACTGTGGGCACTTCAAAGAATGATGTGCAGTATTTCTAAAAGTTATTTTAGCTGTATAGCAGTTTTCTGTTCTGCCCATTGCCAAAGCACACTAATTAATCAGACGTACACATTTTCCTTTTTTTCCCCTCCTAGATGAGAGTGACGTCAGATAAATCTTTGCGACTTGTGCTTTCCACGTTCAAAAATTTACGTGAAGAGCTTTGCCATTTGCAGGATGACTTGGGGGTAAGCCGTGCTGTTCAGTTCCCATGGCCTCATCCATTTGTTTTTACCCGTCAGCGGGAAGTCCGTTACGATGACATTTAAATTGTGAAGTCCAGGTGCTTTACTGGCAACGGCTGGTTTATTAATGGACTTGCAAGGCTCGTACAGTGGCTGAGGTTAGATTTCTTTCCAGCAGTGGTCTTCAAGTGTTCTATTTGTTGAAGCCTAAAACCCCAAGTACTTTCAAAGGAAGACAAGACCCTGCCGAGTGAAATTAGATTGAAAGCTCTGAACTGGTACATACAGTGCATATATATCTACGTTGGTGTAAATGTATAGAACTGCGTTTTTACTTTTAAGATGGACAGGAGTATACACCAAGTGCCTGTTTACTAGCGCTGTTCCAGGAATCGGGAGACCTCGGTTCCATTCCCTCCTGACAAAGTTGTATTTCCCGCTTCGCAGGAAAGCTGTTGTCAGCTGGTGGCTCTAAGAACTCAGTGGTTCCCCGGGGTACCGGCAGCCCCATTTGGAAGCTGGAGCTCTGCAGCTGCTGACACAGACAGTAGATAATTGCTGTTAGGAAAGCAGAAACATTCCCACACCAGCCCAAGTACTTGGCCCCACTGGAAACTTCACAGCATTCTCGTGTAAAATGCAAAGTTTAGGGAGGGGGAGAGGGAGTTTTAACTGTCACCTTTAACACAGAACAAGGAGTCTGTGCAGTGAAGTGGTCTTAGTTTTGGGGGTTTTGTTGGTTTCTGTTTAATAACTACGAATAATTCTTTCTGGGACAGACAAGAGCAGCACCCAGGATCCCCGTGCTTACCACACAACACAAAGCCAGATACTACAGTGACGGGCAACTGTGTCTATGTAGTTAAAAACCCATAGTTTCAAGAAAATTGAGTATTTTCTCAGTTCTAAAACATCACTTGCTAATTACTCAGTATGTTGCACTTGGAATATGGGGAAAGTTTACTGAAAAATGGCAGCTATTGACCGTAAACCCTTTTGTCTTACAGAAGTTAGAAACTGACAGTGTCTTACTTAAGAAGGATTTGGCTTTTAAAGATTCTCAAGTAAAAGAGTATGAAACTATGTTGACTTCTCTGAGAGAAAATAATCGTCAGCAGCAGGTAAATCTAAAAACATATTTTCAGTGTAATTACAGTCAGCCAAAAACTAGCCAGTACGCTGACTTTGGAGTATTCCGGGTAATTGCTGCCTGGTATACGCGTGATCCAGACACTCCCTTAAGGGACACCATGCATTCATTCCACTTCTGTGCTTTCCAGCAAGGACTCAGGGAGAGTACTGCAAAATGTCGCTCTCTGGAAGAACAGCTCCTCTCTCTTCGGCTCAGCGAGGGAGAAAAGGATTGTCACCTAAAGGAACTGGAGTACTGCAAGCGCGCCTTGGAGCAAGAGATCCAGAGCCTTAGACTACAGGTAACAGGCTCACTTGTTCTGTGTCCAGTAGCTGCTATTCGCAGATACAGATGCATTAACGTATGAAAATTAATGATGAAAATTCTCTTTTTAAAATAAAATTATTTAATTTTCTGTAGACCTGCTCTAATCCAACACTACAGACCACCACAGACGAACTCTCTAGCCGTTATGTAGAGATGATCAATAACTTGAGAGAGGATAAAGATCGCGAGATCCGCAGTCTTAGGGTACGTTGTTTTAACTTGCCGTGTGTATCCCTCAGCTTGTACGACTGCAGGTAAACAGCTGCTTTTTTAATTAAGGATCAGGAAAGATTTACCGTATGTCCTTTTTAGATATCTTTTGGTTCTGCAATTACTTTGTACATAGACACTAATGATGGCTCAGAAACTCTTATGGTAGAACATAAAACTGATTTAAAAAAAATATAGTTCCTTAGATGTAGAATTAGGCATTAATCAGAGTAGCAGTCTTTCCTAAAGGGCTATTTTGTGTGTCCTGATAAAGTAAGAAACTAGCCAAAAGACCCCCAACAGAAAATTAAGGTAAGTAAGTCCCAGTCAAAACTACATATCGGAAACATCTCTCGTTTAAAGCACTGTAGTAATATTTTGCCACCCTGGAAGCCAATTCAGCTTGTTCAGTGATGTATTAATTAGCTTTATCCAGTTACAAACCTATTAAATTGGACTGAATTCCACCATATCAATTAGCACTTTCTGAATTTACTGTGCAGCTCAACATTCTTACTTGAAAATCATGGGGGTCTGTGCATGGCCATGTATGTATGTATGTCCATAGCGTTTTTTAAATTACACTAATTCAAGTCTTACTGTTCATAATTTAATGAAAAAAGTACATCTGGAGTCCTAGATACACACTGAGAAGTCACCTGCAAGGAGCACCGAACACCTAACCGTTCCTTAACGCATGTTTTACAGTCTCAGTTATGCCAATTCCAGCAAGACATATCAAGGAGAGAAGGAAGTAACAGCGACTTGCAAATAAGGTTGCATGAACTGACGTCAATGCTGGAGGAGAAAGATGCTTGTATTAAACAACAGCAAGAGGTAAAATGCTGCAACTTATTTATCTTCTAAGAATTTTTATGTTTAAGCCTCCACTTACTGTATGGGTGGAAACTTGCTAGGAAGTCACTGGTACTCTCCTGGTTCAGGAATCAGGGTTAGGATTTTTTTTAACTGAATGCTATTCCTCTGCCAGTCTTTTGGAAGGACAGACTTTTTGGGACTGCTCTTTGAGAGGAATTTCTGCAAATATTTTGTTGTGACTTTAGTGAACTAACACTTCAGAGAACATTATTTCATTTGAATGTTTACTTTTGGTTTTCTCAGGACCTCTTCAGATTGAAGCATGAGAAATTATCAGGCAGGCAGTCCCCTGGTGTAACAGCTATCATCACTAAGAAGTAATGTAGTTACTCGCCTTTCTTAAAAATACATCCTTTTGATTTTCCATTGTATAGCCTCTATTAACCAAGTTATTCCTGCAAATGTCTTAATACTGCCTGTTCAACTTACTTAAAGGGGAAAAAGTCGAGATAGGTTTTCCTATCCGGGGAGGATTCAGCACTAAGCATTGTAATAGCAGTTGGAGGGGTGGCCAGCATGTTGACGTGACATTTAAAAGACTGTATTAGCTTTTTAGTTACTAGGGAAAAATCTTTGGGGATTAATGACTGGAAGGACGATGTGGCAAGATCAGAGTTAGCGATTTGGATACAGGTGTGCAGATTTCAGTTTACAGGTTTGCAACTCTCTTTAATACAGGTACAGGAATCAGTATCCCATTCTGGGCCTCTTGTCTGATGACTACAAGGTTACATCACCCGTCAATAAATCACAAACTATTTTAATTGAGAGGACTGGAGAGATATGGAAACATGTAAGTTTACCCAGAGATTGACTGTGAAGTCTCTGAAATTCCTAAGTATGCAGTTTAACTTCAAAGAAAGTATTACCCAAAATTGACATCTGAGGGAAAGCCATAGTGTTAATTTAACTTGGCTGCAAAAGCAAGGTGACCAATTGAAGTCAAGGAACCGCACTGTGTGTTGCAAGAAGGCAGTAATTGTTGGGTGGGGTATAAATAAAGTAACCTTTCGTTGTTTTCTCTGACACATCACCACCTTTAACAAAACAAGCGGCGTTGCTCTAACACCAGCCTCTGCCCTCACGCACGAGGCAGTCTGCCGGGCATCCCCGTACTGGGGAGTTAGGTAGGCAGGAACTTGTTCCGCGTTGTGCTCTCAGGTGAAGGAATGTTTTGGGTGGGCAGTATTCCTCTGAATCATCAGTATTAATGACTCCAAACGATTACTAAGACATATTAAGCAAGCACCACGTCCCTGAAACTTACATTGAGACAGGGCAGCGACTAACCCAGGAAATGCAGAAGAGTGGCGACTTTTTAGTGATTCAAAGTAAAAATAGAAAATAGGACTGCAGAAGCTGTTTATGTTACCGGGCGCAAGGTAATGTCGCCAAGTCTGAGTACAAGGTAAGGGCTTGAGAAGGATCAACGTGGCCAGTTCACAACCACGTGTTCAGAGCAATGGGATCTGACGACGCTGTCTGCAGGCAGAGTATGGCAGAGCAGCACAAATAAACGAGTGGTAAGAGAGTAGCTTTGTGGGGGACACGACCAAGAAAAAGACAATTACGTGGGCAGCCTGAGTAGGCGAAGGGTAAAACATCTGGCATGTTCCGAAAGGATGTGTTACCTGGAGTAGGGTTAAGAAAATGAAAGGTAGAGGTCACTGGCAAACAGCAGAACTTTATTACCGATCTCTAAAACTCATCCAGTTGCATTGCAACCTAGTGAAATGTCAAGGAATTAAACAAACAGTAATAAAGACATTACAAAAATAAAGCCGAAACCCCCTCCCTCCTAGCTTACTTGAAAAGTCAGTCATACCTTCCATTATAAAAAATGGAAAAGATGAGCGTACTCTGCATTTGAAGAGATCATTAAATAAATGAGAACTGTTTGTATTTTAAGTTTCCCAAGCTCTCTATCAATCACTAGTGCAAGTTTCAGCTCAAAGAAAATTACTTTGCTGCAAGATAAAGTTGGTAAGTTTGGGAAGTGCCAACTTCACCTTTACTCCAAGCTTCACAAGTACTTTTTCTGTGTTTACGTACTGTCAGCCAAATCGTTCTGTCTGCATTCATTACTGAATAGTAATGCTGACTGATAGGCAGCCGAGTAGCGTGGGTTTTGTACTGAAAGTAAGCAGCCTGTACTTGATGCTGTCCTTCAAGCACGGATTACTTGTCATGCTCAGTCCTTCAGGCTACTCAAAGGGCTTAAATGTTCCTTTTAACGTTGGTCCTAGTTATATTGGAGAAAACTTTTAGGGCAGAAATTTTATAATACCTACTATTTAGGTATCTGATAACTCCCCGTTCTTGGTTGTTTCCGTCAGTACAGAAAGAGGTATTGTCCTTGGTTTTGTGTTTACTGGAGACAGTGAATCATGCCAGTTCTGACATCTGCCCCTTGCTGAACAAAAACTGTTTACGGCTTAATGATACGAGTTTGACCTTGCCAGTACCAGCCGCTGTGAGCGCTGACATCCTGAGCACTCGTTAAGGAGGAAAGGCTCACTGGCCACTTGAGACACTTCAAAAGTCAGGCCGTTAGAGAAAAATAAATATATAATTACACGAAGCGTGCTTTATATACAGACAGTTTTGTTTTATATACAGAAATAAATTTGTGTATTTTCTTCTAACAAGCTGCTTGTTTCTTTCAGGAATGAAAGAAATCCCTAAGCCGTCAGAGCTGCTCAAAGGAGTTCACAATCACTAAAATTGCTTTACTTTCTGCTATTTTGCATCCAAAAAAGGTTCAGTCTGATAGTGAGAAAAGGTGGGGAACACATTCAGGACATGGAAGCATGAAGATGATGGAACACTCTGTCTCATCCTCACCATAAAGAACTCGGTTACCCGTGTCCATCATCTGCCACTAACATCTGTGTACAACTCTTACTTGTACTGTTTCATGCACTTACTTTCGCTCAGAAGAGAGCGGCATGCCGTGCTTTTGTGGACTTCAGTTTTCTTGACATGACTAACTTCTGTTCTTCAGCCAGTCCTGAAGCAATCTAAGAGGCAAAGGAAGAAGTCTGAAACCTTTTCCTCTTTGTACTATTAGCCGTATTCCTCTGTCCTGTCTACTCATGCTGAGAAGTGAGAATGATACAAATTTCAGTCAGTCCCCCACATACTGAATGGCTGGTTGCACTACAGACAGAGTCACAGACTGCGGTTTTATCTACCGCTGCCTATTGAAGATGAAGCAAACCCCAGAAACAACCTCCATGGGGAACTTTTAAAAATACCTCACTGAGAAACGCTTACTTGACATCTGCCTAAGCATGGGAAGCTAAAACACAAAAGAAAATTACTGAACTTACTCCAGAGATGCAACTCCTCAAACTTAGCTACTGAATTGGCAACTACCAGTTAGTCACCTAGTTCAGTGAAACGACTGGGCAGGTGCTTATTTTAAAGCGTGTTATTGACCTCAGAGTTGATTTATTTTCAGCTGAATCTTTATAAGCCCCCAAACCAGCCATAAGTATTTGCTGTGCTTGAAAATTTCAAGAACTTGGTATATTTTTATATAGAAAAACTTAGTATGAAAATAGCTCATAGACTAAACTGCATCATCAGACCAATCTTCCATTTACAATTTTTGCTCCTTACAGGACCACAGAAATCCTCTCAAAATGATTTGGTATTAATAATTAAGTAGTTGTCTAAGTAACAGTGCAGAGAATCATAGGGGAAATTTTAAACTATGCAGTCAAGAGGTGCTAGCTCTTTATCACGGGGTTCTTTCTTGCTTTGCTTTATTTCTGCAGACACATATTTCTATTCACAAATAATATATATCATAGGCAATGTTTAATGGTGAAAGAACGCTGTAGGCTATGTGAAACTATGAAATAAACCTAAGTGTAACTTTCTGAATCACGTCTATCTGTACTGGAAACATCTCGTGTCTACCTGATAGGCTGGAGGGGGTTGTTTTAGGTGGTGTGATACTGCCTTTTTTCAGACAACTTGTTCCTCTGAATAAATCTTTACAAGTAAAGGAGTAGTGTTAGGTCCCTGTTCTTGCTACTGATGCCAGTCCTCCACTCAGTTAATGCTGGGATGTCAAAGATGACCTCGTGCTCTTCATAACTGGGAGAAAGAGCCAAGGGTAAAAGCTGCTCGTTGCACTGCTCTTCGAGTACGTCCAGCCTAAGATTGGCCTGCAGTTTCAGAAGCCAAGTAAGAGTCTGCACCATCAAACGACCATGGCTTTAGCCTAGCTCTATAGAAAGAGGTTTTAATTAGTTAAAAATTAAGTATCCTCGTTTGAGTGAGGGCCTTGCCCCACTGAAATCAGTAATTATCAGATTCTAAAATAACCCCCTCATTTCTGTACAGCAGTTAGAGATACGGTACATAAACACACACAGTTAACATACTAATGGCACAGAATGGTGTCAAAGTGCATGCTATACCAAGAAATAATTTTAGTCACACAGTCATCTAATGACGTTTCACCTTTGGTGACCTAAACGATAAACAGAAATAGAAGAGGAAGAATACCACATTTGTTTAATGCCATCACACTGTTATCCGTGCGTAACTGTGCAGCTCTCCCGATTGAAGGAGACACAAAATAATTTGCTGACTTACGGTGGTCTTTGCCATGATCTCAGCTGGGCTTGACCAGGTGGAAGCATTACCCAAACAGCTCGGAAGAAGCTACGAAGAGCAGAACCATGAGTGATTCACGGACGTGCTTACTGTGCACTCGTTTCAGCCACTGCAAGGGTTGTACAGTGTATTTACTAACCACCCCGTCCAGTGACACTAACCACTGTTTCTTTAACTCCGTATGACGTACGACCACGTAACAGTGTAATGAACGCAAGCAGTAAACGCCCTTAAAGGACAGAAACGGGCAGGCTCTGAATACAGTCAGAGCTGCTGGGCACGGTGTTAGAATTTCATGACAAAGGCCCTGATTAGGCAAATGAGCCGTTTTGCATATACAGCTGGCACTATGATAAATTTGAGAACACTGTGATTGTCCCCCGTACTTGAAGAGACGGGTAACATACATACTGTTTAAAAAAAGCCCAGTTTGCTAATCAGGAAAGACAGATGTCGATACTGCATTGTGTAACAAGGATCAGCTTCTCTAAGGCTTGTTAGAGTATTTGAACACTTCTGTACACTAAATGCTACAGAGCTGACGGTCGTAACAACACATTTTACTCACAGATAACACGAAGCAATAGATACTTGTCAAAAAGCTGAATTAGACTAGTAGATGAAGCATACTGGCCATCTGGGGCAGGTTTTGTTTTCAAACCAGATTTATTTAAAAAGAAAATTATTTTACAATAAAAGCACGTGTTATTTGCTGTAGTCCCAGCTATTGCCTCTTTTCTGTTGAACCGAAACTGAGTTACCTAACGTTATTTCTGCTGGAGTTTACAGAAACACATTTTTCCCATTTAGTCATCTCTGTAAATGCTCGTTATCACCCTAATTATAAACAGTATACTTCAGAAAATTTTTCACCTCCATTTCAGGTAGGTCCACTAAAACTTCTACATTTTTTCAGGAACAAATTAGAAAAATCAAAGACAGCATTTACTTCATGTATTTACGACACTATACATACGTACAGCCCTATTAGACCGTCTTTATCAATAGTGCTATTAAATAAACCCTCGCTGCCTGAACAGATCCGATAGCATGCAGTTTCTTGTTCTTACTCTGAAGAGCCAGAGAAAATTGTCTTCTGGTTTCTGTCACTGACTTTTCCACACAACTCAGTATGCAATATGGAACAGTTCCTCCACCTCAGCTGTAAAATAAAAGCCAAACAGAGCCTTGGTTCAAGTTACTGACACCTCTGTCTGAAGAGTCAACGTAGACTTTGAATACTATGTCAAGGTAACTCACCTTCACCTTGAGAGCACTCTGCTGGTGTTCTTCCGTATTTTCTCTCTCAATTTCATTACCTTTCATTTTGGGCATGTGAAACCTGAAGAAAGAAAAATACAGACGATGATCAAGACATGAATCACTTTTAACTGCTCCTGGCTTTTAGGAGTTCCTCGTCTGTCATTCAAATAAAAAACCACAGTGAACAAATCTGACATTTTAGAGTGACCCTTCCACAGGTATGAGAAACTTGCTGCTTGCTCAAGCAACCAGGTTGTGTTTGTACATCACATGCAGCACCGCAGGAGCAGGCAGAGGAGAAATCCAAACACGGGCAAGAACAGCTGAACTACCTCAATGTTGTGCTCCCAGGTAGCGAACAGCTTTACAGCACGTCACCTTTCCTGCTCCTGGTAGCGTGGAGTGGCATCCTACCACAAATGCTGGGAAAGGGGATTCACCCTATTAGTTAGTGTTGCTGCAGGGTCAGATCTGTAATAATTTGACAAGCAAGGACTGTTTTCAACAGAACAGCTCAAAGCCCTTACTGAAAATGTGGCAAAAGGCAAGACATACATAAACTTCACTAAGGAAAGCATGTATGCATGAAAGATGATCATGTCTACTGAAGAGTACCTTTAAAAGAACAGAGATCATGCAACTTCACAACAATGATGGGAAACATCATTCAGAGTTTTCAGGACAAGTAATAAAATGATACCACCAACTTCCATCATTCAATCCAACATTTAAGTTGAAACACTGGCAAGGCTTAGAGGTGGTCTCTTTCACTTGCTTCCTACCACCACTTAGGAACTCATCTGCTTTGAAAATGAGTAAGCAGGACCTGCCTGTAGAGCACTTCATCCCATCCTAACGGCTTCATCAGTTTGGGTAACAGAAGGCAGTTTGCTGCCAGCTCAGGGGAGGGAGCCAGGCAGGGCAGAAGTACAGACTATAGAGAGCAGGGATCTGTGGAAGTACTGAGATACAAATTTTACTGTGATTTTGACATGAAGCATTTTTTAAATCGTAACACCACCACGGTAACAATACAACAGCCATCACAAATTCTCCTAAATATTTACTGGGAAAGTGCACTGAAAAGAAATTAGGAACTGTGCCTCAAACTGCTGAGGATTCAGGTGAAATTTTATTCTTACATTTCAGGAGATTTAAAATGCCACTTCCTAGTAAAATCTTATGTCAAGAATACCAACCAACCGCTTGCTTTAATACAGAATTTCAGTTACCGGGGAAACACAGTTGTAGGAAAAAGAAGAGGGAAAAAAAAAGGTTCTACCTGAGTCTTCTTTTCTGTTGGATGCATACACAAGATACGTATATAAAAAGATACTAAATTACTCAAACAACACACACGAAGTAAGAGCACTGCATATAATACCACTTCCTCTCAGGTTTCTCTTTGTCTAGCAGGCACATTCCTTTATTTTCCCTACTTATTTTCCCTTCCCTAACCCCAACTTCTATGTCATTTCCTCCACAGCCCCAATGTCACACCTGCAACACACCGCACAGCCTTTTCTTGTTGACTCCTTCCTCCTCCTTCCATGCATCACAATATTACTTTTTTTTTAAAACCACCAGAGCCCTCCTAACATCTTCAACCCCCTCTGCCCATTCGCCATCCAGCTTGGACAGTTACAAGAAGCTTCGACATCCGCAGCTATACAGAAAGACGTCAATTCTGGAAGAAGGAGCAGAAGCACTGGTGGGAATTTCGAACTACGGAAGAATACCTAAGTCCAGCCTCAGTCATAAACATCTAAGCAGCGCTGGACAGAACCAGCAAAGGGCCAAGCAGAAGCACACACTCTCCCAGAGGTATCATGAGCTACTGAATTTTAAAACCACTGCTCAAGCAAAAAGTCTGACAAACTTGTTCTTCTAAGCTGTTTGAAGTTTAACAACGTATGGGTAGTAATCCATTAACCTTAACACTGTGTGGGTTAAGTCTCAAGGCTTTTCCTCTCTTTGACAGACCTTGTTTCCACAGTCTTTCTTCTTAGCCAGGGTTCATTGTCCATACGCT